TTCAGCCGCTGGTCAGTTTCAGCAGCGCTGAATCGGGGAAGCTGGGGGCAGAGCAGCTCCAATGGCCCGGCTGCCCGGAGCACTTCCGGGTTCCTGATGGTGCCAGACCATCAGGAGTGCTGGACCATCGGAGTTTTACTGTAGCACAAATCATGTCAAACCAATCTGATAGCTTTCTTCGATAGGACAACAAGTTTTGTGAATAAGGGAGAAGCGCTGATGTGGTATAGAATCGGGGAAGCTGGGGGCAGAGCAGCTCCAATGGCCCGGCTGCCCGGAGCACTTCCGGGTTCCTGATGGTGCCAGACCATCAGGAGTGCTGGACCATCGGAGTTTTACTGTAGCACAAATCATGTCAAACCAATCTGATAGCTTTCTTCGATAGGACAACAAGTTTTGTGAATAAGGGAGAAGCGCTGATGTGGTATACCTAGACTTTAGCAAAGCATTTGATACAGTCTCGCATGCCATTCTTATCAATAAACTAAGGAAATACAACCTAGATGGGGCTACTACAAACTGGGTGCATAACTGGCTAGATAACCACTCTCAGAGAGTAGTTATTAATGGTTCACAATCATGTTGGAAGGGTATAAGAAGTGGGGTTCCATGGGGGTCTGTTTTGGGACCAGTTATGTTCAATATGTTCAATTATTTAGATGATGGTATAGAGAGTACGCTTATTAAGTTTGCAGAGGATACAAAGCTGGGAGGGGTTGCAATGCTGTGGAGGATAAGGTCAAAATTCAAAATGATCTGGACAAACTAGAGAAATGGTCTGAGGTAAATAGGATGAAGTTTAATAAAGAAAATGCAAAGTACTCTACTTAGGAAGGAACAATCAGTTTCACATATACAGAACGAGAAGGGGCTGTCTAGGAAGGAGTACTGCAGAAAGGGCTCTAGCGGTCAGCGTACCACAAGCTAAATATGAGTCAACAGTGTGACACTGCTGCAAAAAAAAGGCAAACATGATTCCAGGATGCATTAACAGGAGTGTTGTTAGCAAGACACAAGTAATAATTATTCTGCTCTACTCTGTGCTGATTAGGCCTCAGTTGGAGTATTGTGTCCAGTGCCGGGCACCATATTTCAAGAAAGATATGGAGAAATTGGAGAAGGTCCAGAGAAGAGCAACAAAAATGATTAAAGGTCTAGAACATGACCTGAGGGAAGACTGAAAGAATTGGGCTTGTTTTGTTTAGAAAAGAGAAGACTGAGAGGGGACATGATAGCAGTTTTCAAGTATCTCAAAGGGTGTTACAAGGAGGGAGGAAGGGAGGGAGGGAAATTGTTCTCCTTGGCCTCTGATGATAGGACAAGCAGCAATGGGCTTAAATTTCAGCATAGGAGGTTTAGGTTGGACATTAGGAAAATGGCCTGTCATGGTGGTTAAACATTGAAATAAATTGCCTAGGGAGGCTGTGGGGTCTCTATCACTGGAGATATTTAAGAGAATGCTAGATAAACATCTATCAGGGATTATCTAGATGGTGCTTGGTCCTGCTATGAGGGATGGGACTGGACTTGATCTTTCGAGGTTCCTTCAAGGTCTAGTATTCTATGAAATGCAAAGCAAAAATTTGAAGGAGTAGAGGGCATTTGTTGTACAAACTGTTTTGGCGACAACTCTGTCACGTTCATATAAAATGTAGCATATACAAAAAACATATCTGCAATCTTAAATGCATCTAAAATTTTTGTATGGGATTGCCATGTACAGTAAAACTCCATTGGTCTGGCATCTGATGGTCCGGCACTCCTGATGGTCCGGCACCATCAGGAACCCGGAAGTGCTCTGGGCAGCCAGACCATTGGAGCTGCTCTGCACCCGGCTTCCCCGATTCAGCCACCCCAGCTGTCCCCAATTCAGCCGCCGCTGAAACTGACAAGTGCTGACTCTGGGAAGCCCGAGGCGGCGCTACTGGACCAACCTGGCAGCACCCCAGGTGCTCTGTCCCAGGCATCCCCAAGTCAGCCGCTGCTGAAACTGACCAGTGGCTGATTCCAGGAACCCGGGGCAGAGCAACTGGGGGGGTGCCGGGTTGGTCTCGCAGCTCCAAGGGGCGGCGCTACCAGACCAACCTGGCAGCACCCCAGCTGCTCTGCCACAAGTGTCCCCAAGTCAGCCGCTGCTGAAACTGACCAGCAGCAGCTGAATTGGGACGCCTGGGGCAGAGCTGGACTATCGGAAGGGGGGCTATAAGGGGTCTGGGATGGCATCCCCCCCACACTACCCTAAACCCCTCATAGCCCCCCTTCTGATAATCCAGCATATTTGATAATCCGGCACCCCTTGGGTCCTAAAGGTGCCAGATTATCGGAAGTTTACAGTAATATGCAGATATATGATTAGTCATGCATCAAAAGTCTAGATCTCTCCAACTGGTTTATAGTAAGAATGAACTGGGTTTTCTGTTAAATTTTTGGACCATTTGTAGTCTGATTTCAATAAGGAGGGTCTAGAAATCTGTGGGTTCTCTTTGCTACACCAACATCAGGGTATAATAAATTTGGCAGAACTGCAAATTCTCTTTAGCCACGTAAGGCCAAAGATATATCACAACATCCATTTAAAACAGGAAAAGCAGAAACATCGAAGGGGAATGAAAGTTAATACGTTATTATTATTATATGGTACCTTTTATAAGCTCAGATAAATTATTCTGTTCCACATTTTTCTTTGCATAATTGAAGCACATATCATCCACTTCTGTTGCCAGGAAATACCAGCCATTCAAAGTGGCCCCTAGTAATGGGTAGATGCAAGATGCCCCTGTACCTGCAGCAAATTTAAAAAAAGGCTAAATTAGCAAAACATTAGATTTAATAAATAATCACCTGGTGTATGGTGTACATTTTTCTGTTATAGAAATGAACCTCAATATTAAACACTAATCGACATTTTACCAGGCAAGTATATATCAATCCCTATATTTCCCAATTTAAAAATTGTATATTTTCAAATATGCATTTATTTTGCAGAACATCTGACTTGTTCCAGGACTAGCATGATAAATCAATGTCAAGATTTTTTCAGTGGGTTTTTGTACACGAGTAACTAATTCTCACACTAGTAACCAAATATATTTCTAGTCATTCAGAAGACTTAATGAAGTTACAAAAATATTTTTCTCCTTCCGCATTTCTCAATCTATATTGATTAAGTCGCTTCACTTATACCAATGACAAGAAGAACTTTCTTCCTCAGACATCAAGCATTAAGAAATAACCAAAGCTTTAACTAAAAAAAGTCTGAGTCTCAAGATAAAGTATACAAATAATAAAATCAGCATACAGTACAAGCTCTATTATCCAGCACACTACAGGAACGGTGAGGTGGTGGTAAATTAAAAACTCAAGTTACCTAATAGGAAGGGGTTTACAATGAGAGATGTGTCAGGAAGGGGCCTGGGAGGGATTGCAGTGCACAGGCTCTGGGAGGGAGCTTGGGTTCAGCATGCAGTTAGTGTGCAGGAGGGGCTCAGAGTGCCAAACTTGAAGCAGGCACTCACCTCCAGCCACCTTCACTGCTCCTGGTGGAGATGTAGCCAGATAACTCAGCTGCAAGTAGGCATGCTGCCTCCGTCTACAGGTGCTGCCCCCTGCAGCTCCCATTGACACTGGTTCCCAGCCAACAGGCTGGGAGCAGTGGAGTCAATGCTTGGGGAGGGGAGATCAAGGCAGCTTAGCTCTAGAACCGCCTGACTATGCCTTTGCCAGCAACAGCAGGGATTGAGAGACATTTGTGGGGGTCTCCTGGAAGTGAGCACGCTTCCATGCCCCAAACCAAAGCTCCCCTCCTAGACCCAAACTCCCTTCCAGAGCACCCCCCGCAGCCCTTTCTATGCCCTAGCCCCCTGCCAGCCCCATACCAACCAATGAACCAGACTTTCTGTGCATACCAGTAATGACATTTTACTGAGGTTGATGTGCTGGATAAAAGGGCTTTTTACTATATATACACTTATCTAATAGCTTCTGATAGGGAAAAGAAATATGTCTTAGCCTATGGCACATTACATGACCACAAAGTAGTGTCTGCGAGCACCAGCTCCCGCCTGCCCCCTTCCTCTCTCCCCCTTCCCCATGCTGCTGCTACTGATATAGTGCCCAGCAGTGGCCAGGGGAGAGAGGGAGATGGCTCCATGGAAGCTAGTGTTCACAGGGAGATTCAGTCTTACAACGTTTACATGAATACATGCATTTTAACATCCCTAGTGGATACTGAAATTACTAAATAGAATCTTCAAAAAAGGCCCTCTTTCAAAGATTAAATACAAAGAGGATTAGAATCAAATAATGTTGGATAAATAGCCACAGATCCCATGTCTCTCAATTTGATAATATGCTCTCTCAAGTGCAAAACTATTTTCAAAATAAAGTCTTCAAAATATAGAGAAAAGATCTAACTAATGACAAAACTAAAAAGAAATACAGATGCTAAACTATAACAAAAATGACCTGTCCAGATTTTTTTTTTAATAGAACCTCTGAAATCAAGAAAATCTTTCTTATCTGATTGGCTTAATCAGTGGATAAATCAGTAGAGATCAGAAAGGTTTGATTGCGGACAGACATTTGACAAATAATTTAAGGAAAGATTACGTTTTATACATTTGTTTTCTATAAATACATAAAAGTCTTCGCATAGATATCAATGCTCAATTTTACTGATGTTTCCTTGATTTGTTTAAATCCCCTGTGTAATTTAACACAAAAAAAAGCTCTGAATTGAAAATAATTGGACACTGAAAAAAGCAAACGGGAATAGCCACCTAAAAAGTATATGAAGAATACTTAAGAATCCGGATTCAAGAAGAGTGAATTGATCAAAAGATAACACTTTTTTTTTAACTATGCTACGTGTAAGGAATCTGATTCACATGTGCAAAATCAAAGAGTAAAGAATAATAAAATACCCTGCACACCATAACTTAAGGCTAGTAAGCATTGCAGCCAAAGATTTAATTACTTGAATTAAAAGATTTCATTTGTGTATGCTCACAAATGAGCTCAAGAGAAGATTTTTCCAATTTATTAACTCCACTAAATTCTATTTAATAAACCATCTAAGTTCAGGAAAACTCAAGAATGGGCAAGGCAGCATTATCAGGCAGAACTGACCTGCACTCATTCACAAGTTTTCAGAAAAAGCTTAGTCCATGAAGATGTGACCCAGTAACACTGGAGATTGGACAGAGTCTCACAAGTACAAATACTTTTGTTGTTTGGAACATGTAATTTTTTTCCAGACCGATGGATAGATTTTGCTTTATATCACTTAATGTCATTTCCAAATTCTTAAACTAAACAACCAGACAAACCGACTGTGTCTAGACTGGCAAGTTTTTCCGCAAAATCATCTGCTTTTGCAGAAAAACTTGCCAGCTGTCTACACTGGCCACTTGAATTTCCGCAAAAGCACTGACGATCTCATGTAAAATCATCAGTGCTTTTCCGGAAAAACTATGCTGCTCCCGTTTGGGCAAAAGTCTTTTTCCGAAAGACTTTTGCGCAAAAGGGCCAGTGTAGACAGCATAGTACTGTTTTCCGCAAAAAAGCCCTGATCATGAAAAAGGCGATCGGGGCTTTTTTGGGGAAAACCGCGTCTAGATTGGCCACGGACACTTTTCCGCAAAAAGTGCTTTTGTGGAAAAGCATCCTGCCAATCTAGATGCGCTTTTCCGAAAATGCTTTTAACAGAAAATTTTTCCGCTAAAAGCATTTTCGGAAATTCATGACAGTGTAGACGTAGCCACCTAGTCCAACAACAGAAAACTACCTAATGCCAAGCATCACACCTACCTATGTCAATTCCCCTTCTAAGAGCTTGTTTATCACCTTCTTGATGACCAATAAGATCTTCCACCCAATGAATATAGTTAAGCCTCAAAGGAACAGTAGGGATAAGCCTCTCCAATGGTATATCAATTGTAAGTCCAAAGTCTTCTTTCAAGAGAGTACAGGTCAGAGCTCTCACAGCTTCTGGATCTTTGAAATTTAGGCTGCAAGGCATAAAATACAATTAAGAGACAGAATCCTTGCATTACAATTGGCATCGAACACTCTTATTTGGGGTTATGTAGTAGAGTAAAAAGTGTCTTCTTGGCATTAACTTAAACTATCAGAGAATAAAATTATACGTCACATATTCAAAACAAGAAATAAAAAACTTGTTTCTGCATATAAAAACAAGATTAATCAGAAATCATAAAGTTACAGGAACAAACTTAAGTGACCACATGGGAATACTACTTGAGCAGTATTCCTTAACATATGAGAAGAAAAAAGCCCTAGGCTACGTCTAGACTGGCATTATTTTCCGTTAAAAGCATTTGCAGAAAAGAGCGCCTAGATTGGCACGGATGCTTTTCCGCAAAAGCACTTCTTGCGGAAAAGCGTCCGTGGCCAATATAGACGCGATTTTGCGCAAAAAAGCCCCAATCGCCATTTTCGCAATTGGGGCTTTTTTGCGGAAAACAAATCTCAGCTGTCTACACTGGCCCTTCTGCGCAAAAGTTTTCCGCAAAAGGGACTTTTGCCCGAATGGGAGCAGCATAGTATTTCTGCAAAAAGCACTGATTTCTTACAGTAGGAAGTCAGTGCTTTTGTGGAAATTCAAGCGGCCAGTGTAGACAGCTGGCAAGTTTTTCCTGAAAAGCGGCTGATTTTCCGGAGAAACTGGCCAGTCTAGACACAGCCCTAAGGAAAAAATAAAGTGTTAATGTGCCAATAAATGTGCTGGTTCTGGAACAACTCCAACCCTTCAAAACATGAGACTTTCTCTGTACCATCTAGTGCAGTGGTGGGCAACCTGCAGCCCTTAGGGCTTCTGTGTGCAGTCCATGAGACATTTTGTTTATCATTGCCCACATACCTGCAAGGTTTTCAGAGTCTGGTTTTTATCCACATACTGACAGGCATGTGGAGCAAGGGGAAATAAGATGCATGCTGATTGTACAGAACATAAGAGCAGTGTGCTCCCTCTGTATCCAATCAAACTGCTACCACAATGCAATCAGCACACCCCACACATTACAGGTATATAAGCACAGGTAGCAAAACTACCCTATCCTGAGACAGTCTCTTGGTTACAACAATCTTGCAGCCCACGGAGATGGAGGAGCCCACTCACTAGACTAGGTGACTCCTCACTGACTGATCTACTGGCTCTGTCACAACCATTAGCCTGTGATGGAATTTATTCCCCCGTTTGTATTTAAAAAAGTTAAACAGCTACATAAGGAAAACGCTGTGGTTGCACTGACAAGCAGTCATAATTAGGACATGCCAGAGCAACTGTAGCTCTGTCCCTAAGGTACACTATTCTGATGATGTCTGATGCAGCTTCCCGCCCCCCACAGGATCCCTGGCTCATTCACTGAGAGGTCGGGTGGGTGTTCTAGGGGTGACGTGGGGGTGGCACAGCAAGGGAAGCTAAGCCCATGTCCACACGCCAGTCCCCGCTGTAGCACAGGCCCCTTACCGGTACCGCTACCAGAACTAAGCCAGCTCCAGCTGTGCAGGACTCTGCTTGTCTGATGCAGCTTCCCGCCCCCCACAGGATCCCTGGCTCATTCACTGAGAGGTCGGGTGGGTGTTCTAGGGGTGACGTGGGGGTGGCACAGCAAGGGAAGCTAAGCCCATGTCCACACGCCAGTCCCCGCTGTAGCACAGGCCCCTTACCGGTACCGCTACCAGAACTAAGCCAGCTCCAGCTGTGCAGGACTCTGCTG